AAAAAAAAAAAAAAGAAAAAAAAAAAAAAAAAAAAGGGCCCCCGCCGAAAATCACGAGATTTCGGCGGGATCCACTAGGGTTCCCATAAACCCTAGGGGTGGCCACCGCCTTTAGGGAGAAGGGGGCGCTAGTGTGGGGGGAGGCAGGAGGAAGCCAACGCGCCACCGGAGAACGGACGAGCGACGACGCATCCACCGACGACGATAGCCAAGCCCTGCGAGTTGGACCGTCGGGACCTTTGGACGAGGGAGACGCAGCGCAGGCGCGGGTTCCCCAGCATTCGGCGAGACCTCTCAGCCGGCGTGCAGCCCGCGTTCGGACACCACCCCAGAGCCTCGTCCCCTTTGTGGCCCAAGCCGGAGGCGTTCTAGAAACCCTGCGCCGGCGGTGTTCGTCGCAGCCATCGGTTTCTGCTCCACCGGCGGCTTCGCGAACCTCCGGTTCGGCCAAGTGCGGCTTGGCGGCTCGACCTCCGAATAGTATACCGATTCCTAGGTTTTCGACCCTTCCGAAGCCATTTTTGCCCTCGTTTCAACCATTTGAGAAGGTAGTTAGGCGCTGGAGTTAGCGTTGTGGGCGACTTCGGTCAAGGCCAAGGAGGTAAGTAACCTTACTGTTGGCGTTGGTTATTATGTATGTTGGTGCGTGCCCTGTGGCCCTTGCATGCACCATATGTTGTTGCTGTATGCTAGGTTGGATGTTTCTTGCCGTGAAATGCTATATGCATGCTTTGTTTATGTATGTGATTCTTGCAGTGAATTGCTATGTATGCCATGTTTAGGAATATGATGCTGTGACGCGTTTTGTCGCCCTGTATGTATGATGAGCTTGATTGACATGTCATGATTGTAATGAGAACCCCACATGCCATGAATAAGATGACTAGTATGCTAGGATATGCTTGCTCAATGTGGTCCCGGTTATGCTATGATATGCTTGCCTACTGTGAACCCAGTTATGCTATGTAATGCGGCGAGGGGATGGAGCGTCGTAGGTGTAATGCCATGGAGGTAAACCTTAAGAACCTCATGCACGCTATGGTTATGAACTTGGGGGCACTCCCCCGTTATGCTACTGATGGGAAGGATGC